AATTGACATCAACCTGAAAATAACTGAAGTAGAATTGTATGGATAATCAAATAAGAAGTGAGAGAAACAGGTCAGCAAGAAAGCAAAGCCCCAATTCTAGGAATGTTATTAAGGTGTCTCCAGAATTCTCTTCCATGCAGAAAAATTATTTGATGACTGAAATGACTGAGAACAATGCTTTATGGTGACAAATGAGTGCTGATGGACCAGCTGGTGACATTGTATTTAAGGCTGCTGGATCCCCCAGGGCTAACTACATGGATCAAGTCCCCGACCTGGAGGCTTGAAAAACAAGCCAGGCATGTGTGTGTGCATGCCCAAAATCTCAAAAGGAGAAATAGAAGGGATGGAGGTGACCATCCTCCATGAGAGGTGCTTTCTCACTCTCTCTCTCTCTGGCAAGTGCACACACCTAAAAATTTTGAAAAGGAAGAGGCAAAAGGATGGGGCTCACACTTGGCATGGCAGTTAAGGACCCCCACATGGCTGACAGCAGTTTGAGTCCCAGACTAGGCAGCTTGCTTTCTCACTTTACCTCTCTCTCTCTCTATTTTATTTTAAATAAAATTTTCCCCTTTACATTGTTGGTTTTTTGGTGTTTTTTTTTTTTTGCCTTTTTTTCTTTGTTTCCTTTCTTTTACCTGACTTTCTCACCTTGCTTCTCACCTTCCACACATTGAGTGTCTAGGCAGATTGAGTGTCTAGGCAGATCTAGGTGCACAGGAGTGAAACCTCAGAATACTTTAAACCCCACACTTCATCCCAGGTGCCCCTATTCCCTTGAAACTATGAGGCCTTTGGAATAGCCCGTTCCATTGACAAAAGTCCAGGTTGCTTGGTGAGGGTCAGGGAAACGGAACTGCAGAAAAATTGCAGGCCATCTCAGTCCATGCACCTCTAGCACTCAGAATTAACTCCAAGAAGATAGGAAGTACTGTATAATCCATCAGATGACCAGAAACCACCACCACAAATGCACAAGGAATATGAGAAATCAAGAAAATATCTTGATAACAACCCTTCATCATCCACAGACAGTACAATGGAACTCATGCAAATGTCAGATAAACAATTTAGGATATTCATAGTGATAAAGCTAGCAGAGATGCAAGAGAAGAGAGACAATAAACTCCAGAAAATGCGGGCAAAAAGAGATGAGTTCCAGGAAGTGAGGAAGTTCTTGTACAGTCTGAAAGAAGAAATACACACCATAAAAAATAATCGAACAGAACTGTTAGAGATGAAGGTTGTAATACAGGAAATCAAAACCTCCCTTGAAAGTATTAAAAGCAGACTAGATCATGCAGAAGATAGAATCTCAGATGTAGAAGATAGAATGTCTGACCTAAAAAAATTCACCAAAATGACTGAGAAAATAACCCCCCAAAATGAGAATGATATTCAAGTAGTACTACATACCATTAGATGCCCAAATGTCTGGATAATCGGTATCCCAGAAGGTGAAGAAACTAATCAGGGCATTGATCATTTATTCCATGAAATCCTGGGAAAAAACTGTTCATACCTAGAGAGGCATTCAAATATCCAGACCCAAGAAATACAAAGGACCCCACATAGAATCAACCCAAGATCTTCTCCAAGGCACACCATAGCCAGACTGACCAAAATCACAAACAGAGATAAGATACTAAAATTGGCAAGAGAAAAATATCAAGTTACTGTCAAATGACATCCCATTAGACTAATATCAGACCTCTCATTGGAAACAATGAAGCAAGGAAAGAATGAAGAAATATATTCAAAGCGTTAAGTGAAAAACAATTTCAACCAAAAATACTGTATTCGCAAGATTATCCTTCATGTGGGAAGAAAAGATAGAAACATTCTCAGATAAACAAAACCTGAAAGAATTTACCAACACAGACCAGCTCTTCAAGAAGTTCTGAAGGTGGGGCCAGCAGTTAGTGTAATGGCTATGTCACTGAACTCCCATGTAGCTGACCGCGGTTCGAGTCCCAGACCCAATGGCTTAAATACACACTGGGCATGTGTGCATGCGTGCCCAATATCCCAAGAGAAGAATGGAGGAGAAGGGATTGCGGCATGGCCATCCCCCCTGGAGAGTGATTTCTCGCTTTCTATCTCTCTGTCTCTCTGGCAAGCACACATGCTCTATAGCAAAAACCTCTCCAAAAAAAAAAAGAAGTTCTGAAGGGAGTACTATCCAGGAAAACTAAAGACAGTCAGACAAATAAGAGAACAAAAAATGACAAAGAAAAAGGCCAACTTAATGGTAGGGATAAGTTCTGAAATATCAATAATAATGTCGAATGTTAACAGAAAGGTCAGACCACAGTAACACTGCAAATTCAACTAAAGAGAGATTACATGAGACTGAACTGGTGAAAGAGAATCCTATGACTTTTTTCTAAAACATTACTGATTTTCTTCAATGCTGTGTCTTCCAGATTTAAAGATTTTTGTTTACTTTTGAGTTGTTGGGTTAAGCAATTTGTTAAAAAGAATTTTTTTAATTGAAACATAAACTTTTCTCCCTTCCTGACCCCTTTGCAATTGGAAAATATTTGTGAGCATTCTTATTTTGTGGCAAAATGGTTATTTGCAATAAGTTCAATAATGCAATAGTATCTAATGCCTTGCATTCTAAATTATTCTTCTAGGGCTTTGTGCAAATAACAGACAAAATTGAGATTAACCTTTTTTATTTTTGCACATAAGTTAGTTTATACTTCTTTTTAGTAACAGGAATGGAGAGAGAAAAAAAATGCTTCAGAAGAAAATTACAGTGCACTTGTCACTAGATTCTAGCCTTGTCTATACTTTAAGATCTTTTGTGAATCAAAAAAATTTGAAAAAAAAAAAAAGCTTAGTATGGAAAGGAAAAAAAAGCTTAGTATGGAAGGGAGGGAGGGGAAAGGAAAAAATGGGTGAAAGTATGCTTAAGTGGCAGAAAATGAGAAGCCTTTTAGTGATGATAATGAATATAGTAATATCCTTCTCTTGATTGACATGCATGGTATTTGTGTTGGAAAAAGAAATGTGTACTGTAAAGACATGTCATACAATGTAAATTAAAATAAAATTTAAAAAAGAAAGAAAGAAAAAATAAAATTGATGTTGAATAGATAAATGAATAAATCTTAAAGAAAAAAAAAAGAGAAAAGTAACTCCAGGGTTCCTGGGAAGGTCAGAAACGATGAAAGTATTTTATGCACAATACATATTGATGAAGCTGTTTTAATATGGATTCTGTAGACATCTTCTCAGAATAGAATATGTGCACTTTCCAAGAGAAACCCAGGCAACAGGATCATACAAATGCTTGCTGCAGAGGGGAAAGACTGGACCACTGTGCCTGTATGGATACCTAGGAAGAGCATCCTTTCAGTCCCCACTTCCACTCAAAGACACCCATAAAATTACTTCATTCAGATGCTATGGAGTGAGCTTCTTCCAGCTCACTCCTCCAGACTCTCAGTGAGCATCTTTGGCTGTTAGGGACAGAAGTCTGACTGTCTTTTCTTGTTTCCAAAACTCACTTCCAGAGGACCTGGGATGAGTCACCAACATTAACAGACTATTTTGACCCATTTGATAAGAAGACTTTTCCCGTATCCTGTCCCTGGCACAGTATTTTTGGGAGGAGTGACTGCAACCCACACCAGCAGGTTGCTGTGACCATTCAAAGCAGCCAGGACCCACATCGATGTAGGCTTACCTCACAGGATTAACAGACCATTCGGACTCATTGATAGGACTCTTTCTACATCCTGTCCTTGTGACAGTCTCTTCTGGTGGCAAAAGCCTCCTTATCTCTGTTAAAGTCTTGTCTTTACTGATCCTTTTCCAAAACACAGAAAACCTACCTATAACCTACAAGCCCTCGCTTCCAGATGTCCTGCCTTTTGGGGCCAAATCCATGGGAAAACTCTTTTCACTAATCCCAAACTTTGTCTCTCACTCTCAAAACCAAATAAAAGGAATCCCTGTATCTGATCACCCTGAGAAAAGTATTTTTCCCTTTCTTCAGGGCTTATCACTCATATCTGTGTTTAGAAATAAACTGCATTAATTATTATTTCTGCAGAGTGGGTTATTTCTGCCAACACTGCTTTAGTGGATTCTTCTGAGTCATTCTCTGCTGGACGTCAAAGACTTTCAGCCTGCCAGGTTCCATGTCTTCTTGGCCACATCTTAGCAGAGCCCAGATGGATACAGAGAGTGTGTTCTTGTCTGTCCTAAGGGAAACACTGCAGGAAAGCACCCCTCCCATCTTCAGCACTGTCAATGATTTAGAAGGTAGTCCTCTAGGGACTAGTATATGGCATAGCCATTATGTTGTTGAACTCCCACATGGCCAACCACAGTTCAAGTCTTGGACCCGGTGGTTTAAAACTCATGCCAGGGGACCAGCAGATGGCATAATGGTTACATTGCTGGATTCCCACATGGCCAACCATGGTTCAGATCCCAGCCTCAGGAGCTTAATACTCGTGCCAAGTGTGTGTGCGTGCATGCCCAAAATCCCAAGAGGAGAATGGAGGACAAGGGATTGTAGTGTGACCATTACCCCTGATTTCTCACTTTCCATCTCTCTGTCTCTCTCTGTTTCTCTCTGTCTCTCCATGGAGTGCATGTGCCCTATCACAAAATTCTCTCAAAAAAAAAAAAGGAAAAGAAAAAGAAACTCATACCAGGTGTGCATGTATACCCAAAGTTCCAAGAAGAGAATGAATTGCAGCATAGCCATCTCCCTGGGGAGTGATTTTTCACTTTCCCTTTTACTGTCTCTCTTAGGCAAGCACATGCAAAAACCTTTAAAAAAATTAAAAAGGCTCAAGAATTTTTTTTTCTATGTTACATGAATTTATACAGATACATTCACCCTTGTAGTAAACAGACCCCCCCCCCCACGCTGCAGAAGAATAAGGATGCACTGCCTGTTCACACAAGGATCCACACCGGCAGATTGCTGAGAGCATTCAAGGCAGCCAGGACCCACATTGACGTAGGCTTACCTCGCAGAAGCTTTGACACTGGTGTTTCCTCAGATCCCCCGATTCCTTGCAGGGCTCCAGGCACTATTAGAGAGGAACGATAAAGAGAAAGCAAGCATGGGTAAGAACCAGAGCCCACGGAAAAAGAGAATTCACCTGTGATTGTGGCTTTTCAAGGCCAGGTTTCCTACTTAGTTCAGAAACACCAACTAACCCTTCAGTCATCGTAACTGTGTATAATAGAAGTCAAGCAAGAGCATCATCATAGAGGACAGGGACCCAAAAGAAAGTATTTCAACCTAAGGGAAAAAGAAAAAGAAAACTTGCACTGTTTTCTTTGTGCAGGAAAGTAACCATAGTTACTAGTAAGCAGAACACTTTGAGTGAGACATATTTTTTATTCAGTAAAAACTACCTTTTAAAAGTGTTGATGTCAGGGACCAGCAGTTAGCATAATGGCTATGTCGCTGGACTCCCATGTGGTCGACCACTGTTCGTGTCCCGACCCGGTGGCTTAAAACTCACGCCGGGTGCGTGTGCGCGCGTGCCCAAGATCCCGAGAGGAGAATGGAGGAGAAGGGGTTGCGGCGTGGCCATCCCCCCTGGGGGGTGATTTCTCGCTTTCTGTCTCTCTGTCTCTCTCTGTCTGTCTGGTGAGTGCACGTGCCCTATAACCAAAACCTCTCAAAAAAAAAAAAGTGTTGATGTCAGATGAAATGTATTTTCTCATAAAATTTTAATTAACTTCTCAAATGGGCAACCTACGGCTTTTTGGTGCATACTTTTCTACAAGTGACTGACTGGAAGTGCACTGTATCAAATCCATGTATGTATGTATGTATGTATGTGTGCTGTGTGCATGTGTGTGTGTGTGTGTGTGTGTGTGCTTACATGTGAGACTGTTGTTAAGTTATGACTTTAGCTAAAAGACTTCGGCAGCACTGACACTCATGAGCTCAATTACTCTATTAAAATATGTCAGACAAAAGGTCCAGCAGGTAGTGTGGTGGTTAGGGAGCTGGACTCCCACATGGCCGACTGCCATTCGAGTGCCAGACTTAGCAGCTTGAAAATCACTCCAGGTGCATGAGTGTGCATGCCCAAAATCCAAGGGAAAACTAGAAAAGAATGAATTGATTGTGGTGTGGCCATCCTCCCTGGGTAATTTCTCACTTCCCATCTCACTGTCTCTCTCCAGAGAGTACACATGCGCTGTGGCAAAAAAACCTTAAAAATGTGTGTGTGTGTATGTGTGTATGTGTGTGTGTGTATGTATATATAAAGTGTGTGTGTATATACACACACACTATATATAAATATTCTTAAAAGTATATATGTACAAATATATAAAGTAGATATAAATATAAGTATATATGTTTTAATATATATAAAGTATATGTATTTATATATAAAAGGTATATATACTTTATACACTTAATATTAGATTTAGATTTATATATGTGTATGTGTGTATATATATAAAATAAAACTTAATAGTAGATTTAGATTTAGATTTAGCAACCAGCAGGTGGCGTAGTGGCTAAGGCGCTGGACACTCTCCCATGGCCATGGCCAACCACGGTTCAAGTCCTGGACATGGTGGCTTGCTTTCCCACTTTCTCTCCCTCTCTCTCTGTCTCTCTCCGGTCAAACTTAAATAAATGAATGAATAAATAAAAATTTTAAAAAATATTTAGATTTATATATGTGTGTGTTTATATATATATATATGTGTGTGTGTGTGTGTGTGTGTGTGTGTGTGTGTGTGTGTATAAAAATACAAGTTACAGTTAGATTTAGATTCTGACATGAGGGTTTCATAACAGAGAATAAAACTTACTCAAACATACACACACACACACAGCTAGGTATAGTTTACTCAAGCAAAAATAGCAGCCAGGCTGCACCGTTCAATGCCAGTTGTAAGAATGAATTGATTGTGGTGTGGCCATCCTCCCTGGGTAATTTCTCACTTCCCATCTCACTGTCTCTCTCCAGAGAGTGCACATGTGCTGTGGCAAAAAACCTTAAAAGTATGTGTGTGTGTGTGTGTGTGTGTGTGTGTGTGTGTGTATGTATATATAAAGTCTGTGTGTCTTTATGCTTATAAAGAATACCACTTGGGGCCGGCGGTGCTGGCCCGGTGGTCGGAGCGCAGGGCTCCCGTGAAAACAGGACAGAAGATGCTGGCCTTGGCGCTCATCCCAAAACTCCCCGCCAAGGGCAGCCTCTGTACACAGGAGGCATGGAAAGTTCCGTTTCAATTGCACGCTCACCTCGTTTCCAATAACCACTCCTGCACTGTGTCTGCAGACACAGCTCCAAGTGTTACCAATGACAGCCAGTGTGCTCTGCCAACAGTCCTGTGATGGGGACAACCTCGATGCAGCCCTCGAAGGGAATCTCTGCAGCCTGACTTGGCCATTTCTCTGCGTTATAGCACTCCAGCCTGTAACATGACTTCACTGAAAGCCGAATGCCAGCCCTGCCTCTCACACTTCATACAAAGGAAAGCACTTCCTGTTTCTCTAAGCAGTTCTTCAAAAGGTGTGACAGAAAGACGGCAGCCCCAAATTGCTCTTCCATGAGAGGAGCATGAGAAAAATCATACCGTGAGCAGAAAGTTCTTTGCCATTTATGACCCGTCCAGCGGTGAGTGTCTTATTTATATATTGCCTAACACCACCCAAAACAGTCACGGAAGTTAGCATTTTTAGTAAGTGTTGCGTAGGGTTCCGTGTTTTAAGATGACTGACTATTTGAAGTCATTTCTTCCTAGGCTACTGGGAAAAACTATAAACCTCAGAGAAATAAAATGTAGACTGAGAGAGCTAATCCCATATGCCACCTCTTAGAATATTAATACCAATCCTTTCTTTCTTCTTCTTTTTAAAAAAATGTTAAAGGTTTTTGCCATGGGGCACATGTGCTCACTGAAGAGACAGAAGAGAAGAGAGATCTCCCCCCAGGGAGGATGGCCGTGCCACAATCCCTTCTTCTCCATTCTCCTCTCAGGATTTCAGGCATGCACACATGCCCGGTGTGATTTTCAAGCCACCGGGTCCTGGACTTGAATTGCGATCTGCCATATGGGGGTCCAGCAACTTAACTACCATCCCCTGGCCTTAATATCAGTCATTTCCTACATAACTTAGAAACACATATTCTTGGTATCATTTTCTTAGAAAATACTTCTGTATTAAATTTTATTTTTAAATCTAAAGTAAGTGACACAGCTAGTGATAGTGGTCAAGGCGGTGGATCCCAAAGGACTGACCACACAGTTTGGGTCCCAGATCTGGTGGCTTGAGAAACATGCCAGGTGTGTGTGTGTGTGTGTGTGTGTCCAAAATCCCAAGAGGAGAACGGAGAAGAAGGATTTGCAATGTGGACATTCCTCCTGGTGGAGTGTGTGTGTGGAGGGGAGAGGCTCTCTCATTTTTCCTCTCTCTCTCTCTCTCTCTCTCATGGGCACATGTGCCCTATAGCAAAAACTAAAACAACAAATTATAATAACAGACAGTATGTTCATGTTTCACTAGAATATAAATTACATGTACACTGAAACTTTGTGACATTTACCATAATATTCTTAGCATAGAGTGGTGACTCTATAAACATTTGTAGACTAAATAAATTGATCAACTAATACACTTTCCTAACCAGTACCTAGAGTTGGCTCCCTCGAATACTTCCAAGACCAAGCAAATCCTGAAAAAGTAAAAGGAGCAGGTTGAGAACACCTGGGAGTGATTGGGGGTCCCTTCTGGTCCTTGCGCCCTTTGGTCTGCTACAGAGAAGCCCGCCCTGCCGTGCAGATTCTGCGGAGACCCTTCCGGGTTTACAAGTGCGGTACAGCACGGCACAGAACTGCCTGTCTGTGGCAATTTACTCAGCACACGAGATGAGGAACCTTTCTAACTAAGTGCACCTGAAAGGGTGACTGGGGCTTCCAGGGGACATGTGACAGGGTCTGGAGCAATTTGCTTTATTCATACTGAGAGGAAGAGGAGGGCCAGGACCGGTCTCGAGTGCGTGGAAGGCCAGGGCTCCAGTTTAAGCACTGGGTGGTGCTCAGGATAGCCTCCCCTGCCCCCTGAAATAGAAATGACACAGCCCCAAATGTCCATAGTCCCAAGGTGGAGGACCTTGGGACAACGTGCCACAAAAAAGCAGTGTGTTCTCTCTAATACGACAGGTGGTCCTGAGAGATCTCTTTCATAGTGCAGAGGGGTAGAGGCCACTCTAACCATTTATTAGTTATGTACACGCTGGTCACGTTCAGCCTTCTCGAAGAAGGTTTTGATAATGAGTCCCTTCGTACAATCTACTCAATAATTATCGAATTAGGTGCAAAGTGTATGATTTGACATTCAAGCCATCTGGTCACCCAGCAAGTTCTGCCAAACGAAATCCCTCAGACACATAGGGGCTGCCTTCAGAGAGGCGCATGTCTTTTCTACCCCACAAACGTTTGTTACTAAACCATCGGGATCTCTTTACACTCTGTTACTGTATTTTTTCTTACAGACAATCCACAGCTACTTCAAACCATCTCTTTTTGCAGTCCACTTAGGCAGATGGTGTAATGGTTACGTCACTGGACTCTCACGTAGTCCACTACGGTTCGAGTCCCAGACCTAGCGGCTTAAAACTCTCACTAAGGGACCAGCAGTTAGCGTAATGGCTACGTCACTGGACTCCCATGTAGTCAACTGTGGTTCGAATCTCAGACCCGGTGGCTTAAACTCACACCAGGCGTGTGTGTGTGCTTGCCCAAGATCCCAAGAGGAGAATGGAGGAGAAGGGATTGTGGTGTGGCCATCCCCCCAGGGGGTGATTTCTCGCTTTCTGTCTCTGTCTCTGTCCATCTGTCTGGCGAATGCATACTCCCTATACCAAAAACTCTCAAAAAAAAAAAAAAAAAAAAACTAGCAGTTAATTGCTGAATGTGGGACCAGCAGTTAGTGTAATGGCTATGTCGCTGGACTCCCACGTAGTTGGCCGCGATTCGAGTCCTGGACCCGGTGGCTTAAAACTCACACTGGGCGCGTGTGCGTGCGTGCCCAAGATCCCGAGAGGAG